GGTACTTATATGCCGGTAATTATTTATGATTTAATTATTTACGGAAAATACTGTTCAATGATTTAAAATATTAGGAAGTCAATTAATAGCTATTTATGTAACCAGTTACGAAATTTTGTGTAACGAGTTAATATTTGCGGGGCGAGCGAAGCGATATGGATAACCCCACAGCTTGTTGTTATACTAGTGGTTTATCATTGCCTATTGCCTAACAGAAGATCACCCATTCACTTCAGGACGCAACTATTTCCAGATTATACAGATCATCTAGTTCTTGTAAATATATAGATATATTTTTTCGTTAAAGTTAAAGAAATGTATTTAATTCTGTAATATTTCTACTAAGCATCTTAATTTAATCATTAAAGGATTTCTTTCTATTTCTGGTCCTTTGTCATTTTTCTTTTCTAAAAAAATTGCAAATAATTTATTATTTAACTCCTAAAGAATTTATGAACATTGACTTAGTGCAGTGAAAGCAACTTGAATCGCGGTAAAATACTGATTGTTCCCCTCCTTTTTCGTTTAAATTAAGAAAATAATGTTTTCATGTGTAATAATTCACCACGGTTGGAAATGTTACTTTTTATTAAATATTAATCTTTGACCTTATGATTAAATAACAACATACAAATAGTTATTTAATACACATTCTTTTCAATTTATGAAATATTATACAAGCAGTAAACAATATAATATTATTGTTTACTTATCCATTTATTTTTATAGCATGTTTTATGTATTTATCATTAAATTAAAAAGAGAAACTAAATACCAATAAATTATATAATTTTGATGTGACTTGATTATCTAAATTTAAATTTAAGATTCTTCGATAATATTTATTTATTTATAAAAGTAGAACACGGCATATTTGGGGCAGCGCAGTTTTTACAGCGTCTACAGTCTAGTCTGCCTCGGCGATTACTTAGACACATCGCGGTTTTTGGCAGTCGATTTCTTTCGATTTTGAGTGTTTTAGTATGCTGCGGCAGTTTAGACGTGATTGCTGCACAGTGACAGATCATTCAATCTATGGATCCAATTCAAAAGCAGTATCCCCTTCGGCAAACATGTTTATGATTTCTTCCCTTCATACCTTTAGTATAATCGGAGTGAGTTATATCGCACAATGTCGATCTAGCTACGACAGCTAATATGGAGGTAGAAGGTAAGTAGACGCTATCATGTACCTAATGACACCGATCTGCCAGAAACATCCCATTTAGGTTCTATGTATATATGTATGTGTCTGACATAAATGGTATGTCCTTACAATGTTTCTAAAGAAACGTTTCTGGAATGATTTCTCAAGAAAGTTTTAGAAACATCGTAAATATGTATAGGTATTCTATTTTCATTTTAAATTTTCAAATATCAATACATTATAAAAGTACATACTGCAATCACCAGAAATCTACAATATTATCAAACTATTGTTGCTGTAGGTCAAATTTATCTTTATTAGTTTCTTTAAAAAATAGTGCAAATACGACAAATAAATACACATATTTGATTTGCTCTCGAAGTATTAACCGAACGCGCCTATATTGACTAAAATGTCTGACAAATTTATCTTATATATTTTTATTAAAAAAAAACATACAATTTTCATGGAAGAAATAACAATACAACAATATTTAACAATATTCCAAAAAACTCACTCCTGGTGTGATTCCTGATCCAACAATGAGACAAATAGCTCTATGGTCATGGGTCCACAGAGGCTTTATTTCAAAAACATAAGGTGTTAAAATTTTTAATTTTTTAGGTTTTCTCAAAATATTCCCGATACGTCTTTAACGATAGAATGAAATTTTAGTTGTACAATGTACCAAAATAAAAACAAATATTTACGCATTTAAAATATATAAATAGGTTTAAAATAAGCTTGCGTGCGAACGAGTGCTTTAAAACATTTGAACAAAAATAAATGTGTACTTAAGTCACTATTTTTTTCACTTTTTGATCGTACAATTAGTTAGATATTATTTAAATTACTATAATAAAAAACACCGTTAAATTTCACCTTCGCTTAAGACCTACAATTTTATCAAACTGTTAAATATCAACCTAAAAATAAAATCATAAAAAATCTAGTATGTTAGTTTCATCTTTATTGACTTGAAAATGGTATTAAAACCTCCAGACCTCCTAAACACTAAACTTTGCAACAGATGTGAAGTACTCTCACCTTTGACAGCAAGTTAACATGGAACTCGCATTTATAAAACAGAGTCAAAAGAGCATACATTGCTTATGATAAATGCCGCCAAACCGTAAGGCGCACCTGGGGGTTCTCCCCCAGAATCGTCGCATGGACTTGCACCGCTATCATAAGACCTATGCTAACATACGGTGCAGTTGTCTGGGTACCGAAAACCCAAAAATTGACAGCTATCCGTAAACTAGAACGAATTCAACGAACAGCATGTCTCAACATAACTCATGAAAACAACACCGACCAGAGCCATGGAAGTCATTCTTAGACTCACTCCCCTTGATATTTTTTACATCAAGGAGGTTGCTCTGACGACAATGACACGCCTCCGCACGGTTGAAATAGAACCTGATAAAGAATCTGGTGAGGCGAGACGGTGCCTTTGGCAAGAGGCGCTCGATACTCTTCTACTGCTTCAAGCGTACATGGACTCCATCTCACCGAGATATATCTTCCATAAGCTATATAAATTTATAACGGAACAAAGAGAAAGGCCGTAAGTAGCAGGTACGATTTAGTTCTACACCGATGGTTCTAAATCAAAACAAAGGCTAAAGATTTAGAATACACTACAGATCCTTAAACTTAAACATAAAATGGGCTGGGAGCAATAGTGCCAGTTTAGTTCGAACTGAGCTCACGGGGAATTTCACAGCATCAAAAGAAGTTACCAGAAACAATATCACTAGAAAGAATATGCTCATCTATACAGATCGCAGACAAGCACTACTCTCCCTGAACAGACCACGAATTTATTCAGGGTTAGTACTAGAATGTCACGAAGTTTTGGCCGAAGTATCCATCAACAACGTGGTCACCTTAATACGGATCAAAGGTCACGCCACATCGAAAGGTAACCGTCTTGCTGATTCACTGGCCAAGAAAGCAGCCAACCAAATACTTTTTGGACTTGGCCCTTCTATTTACCGTACAAAATCGGTAGTGACAGACCTAATTAAAGAACATTATGTTGTGAAATTCAAGGAAAGATGAGTTGAAACAAGAAACTGCAGAGTTGCCAGGGAGCTTTTAAGTTATTCTAACAACACTGCAGCAAACAAATACTTGACTATGACTAGATAGAATCTGCGCATTCTGACTGGTCATTGCCAAGTACGGAAGCATCTCCATATCATGGGGCTGTCAGAATCCGCACTCTGCAGAGGGTGCGAACAAGAAGGTAATACTATCAAGCATATCCTCTATAATGGCTCGATGTTCTTATTTATTAGGAGATTTGTGTTCAACACCAGCCGATATAAGAGAAGCACCTCTTGGCAATGTTGTTAACTACATTAAATCTGTAGGCTGCCTCACGAGCTAGGAGGTGCCTATCATCTTAAGAGAATACAAAATGGGCCTAGTGAGGCCTAAGTGCCGTGGGGGTAATCCACCCTCCACACGTTACAGATACAGAGAGGTAAACAAGTAAATTTATTACCCACAAAGTTGTTTCACAGAAGAAACTACATAATTAACATTAATATAAAAACCGTAATTGTAGGTAATTTTTTTTAGCATCGTACAACTGCCATCATGATAAAAATCTAGTGAACCTTTGAAATATACCTTATATAAATACACTTTTTTAAACTTTTTTGTACAATCGTACACTGTTTTAGCTTCTAGTGAACCTTTGATTTCAAAAGCGTTTTAATAATAAAGTTATACAATTTTTTATTTTGTATCATTGAGATTGTATAAACAATAATATAGTGTGTCCAAAGATTTAAATTTTTTCAAAAAATCATTAATTTTAATTTCTTAGCGTTAATCGTATTTATTTAACAGGCAAAAGAAATTATGAAGAATTACTTTTTTTGAATTTAAAATAAATATTTGTGCAAGTATAGTTAAGCTCATCCGTGGACACACTGTATAATGCTGTAGTGTAGAACTAACTCACATTAGAACATATATACAACGTTTAAGAACAACTTTCGGGAGAAAGTACTGTAAAAGCTAGTGTGATGTTTTCCAAACTTTACTTTGTAACCTCTGCGAGATATGTTGTAGAAGTCTTGCTGTTGCGGACATTCGGCGGTTACTTGGATGTTAGGGTTACATTAAAAGTACATTGCCTAAAATTGCAGCTTATTAACGTAGATGGGATGTTTTTGTGCTAGCTGAGAAATATCTTTAAATTAGAAAACTCCACATAAATATTGACACAAATTTTCTTTTGTGATTAATTTTTATTTTATATATCACGTATTAAGTATTCATTGAATTATAAATATTAAAATTACTAGGACCGCTTTAAATTTAAAAAATTTCGACCGGACCTACCGAAGGCGCCATCTTGTTACCATCCTAGTGTTGGTCCAGTAGTACCAAATTATTTTAAATATTTTTATGGTATGTTATCTACTAACTCGATGCCAAAAATAAATGTGCAAGGTTAACGATTTTAGAGTTTTGAAATATCTTTGATAAAATCTAAGATAATTCGCTGTTTCCAGACTTTTCTTTCACTCGCAAATTACATATAATTAAATTAGAAGCAGTTTCTCACTAATAGTATGTACCGATGGATCCGCAAAAAATTGGAGGAAAGTATTAACAGCACGTTTGATAATCGGTAAATTTCTCAATAACACGAAATTACGCGGTTCTGGTTCTTATTTCATGTACACAAAACACTTTCACTTGACACGTTTTTAAAAAATTCGTTGCAACGACTAAGTCAAGACCACGAAGTGAAATACAGAAATTAAAGTGGCGGTAAATGATTTTGGTTTGTTTTCATCATTGTCACTTCTTCAGCAGGAGGTGAACAATGGCTCCTACACCAACTTATATCGAGACTGTGAGAAATAATAATGAAAGTGAAAGTGATAATGGAAAAATAAGTTTTCCCTATAAAATTCAAGATATCGACGAGAAAACTAATAACGAATTATTGGAATTATTTACAGGTAATTAATTATTAGTAATTGGCTTGACTAAAATACTTTTAAAAATACTAATATTCTCTTTAAATAGTTATTTGTTTAACTAGGCTAGTTACAAATAATACTAGCCACTGTAATAAACCTTTCTTTCATATTAAATGTATAATTTTCAGCGTGTATAAAAAAAAATTAAATTTTTTTTTGTGACAAATAAATCAAACATTTTAATACTTCTATACCTTTTAAAGTCACATTCTCTACTTTTTGATCATATTATATACATATGTTGATACTTTTTTTAACTGTGTACAAAAGTCGTAGGAATAAACTTTTTCAAATAACTTTTTCAACAAAACTCAAAAATAAGAAAACAATATCTATAAACAACAAACGTAAATTTTTGTGACTTTTTTTTAAATTTTTATAAATATATTCTTGAAAAATGTAAGAATTTATTTACAATAATAATTAATGATAATTTTAAATAAATTTCATAAATAGTTAAAGATTAAGATTTAGCACTCGTTTAAATTTAAAGGCCATTTTTCATAAGTAGGTATATTAGGGACATTAACGTTACTTTTACTGCCTATTCAGTTTGTGCAACAAGAGTGGATATGATGAAGGGCTCAATTGCTTGAGTGAGATACAGACAATCCACTCGAGTTGTACGGTATATTTTTTCTACGATCCGCTCACGAAAATTTGCAAATTTTAAAAAATTATTTTAGCTTTTTTAGGTAAAATAAATAATTTATGACTTTTATTAGTTTATAAAATAAAATAAAGTTAAAAAAAAGATTTAAATCAATTAGTCTCCAAACCTAGATTTCAACCCGACAAGCCAAATGCGCTGGTAAAAGTCCATCGGTACACCTGACATTTTAGTTTAGTTACTAAATTAAATTGATTTCATATAGTTTTATGTTTTATTTGTAAATGTTGACGAAATAAAAATAGAAATGCTATTATTTATCGATTTTACACAAAAATAATTCATTTTTACGTGTATTTAATCTCAATAACTAAAAAATATACTGACAATTAGTTTGAGGACAATTGTCACTTGTATAAAATTTA